CGAAGTATTCGAACAAATTGTTTACGTCGTCCATAATGTTGTATATTTATTATTATTTTTTTTTTTTCCTTCGATTTTTCTCTCTATTCACGAAAACCGCAACGACTGCACCGCAGTGTAATGACCGTTTTAAACCCATAAAACAGGGAACAAAACCGTGGCGGTACGAGTAATATTTTCAAATATTCATTTAAAATGATTTTTACTTAAGCTCTTGGGTTAATAAACATCAGTTATGTTTACTCGCTTATTTTACGCTGCTATTGTGGTAATAGAGGCGGCCGTGGATTACGGCGTTTTACATTTTGCGTACGACGCGGTAGTTTTCGTCCGGAAAATAGTGCTAAACATTTGGAGGCCGGACCGGGAATCGAACACGGTCCTTTCGCTCGCCGAGTTATTACACCCGGGTTATTAACCAGTAATTGACTGCGAAAAATATTTCCGCTGGACTCGAACGGTCTAACGTTTATCTCCACGGGTTCAGGAGGTTAATGGGGCGACCGGGTGTATAATTTCATTATTGAGGCGACGATTCAGCGCTCGGTGGTCGTGTCACCTATCGATAAATTTAATTTTTAAATACGTCTTTAATATATAAATACAATTTTACGAAAACGTAACTAACACCTCTACGGTATCAACGTTATCCATATCATATAGCATGTATGTATATTTTTCCGGCCTTTTTTGGTTAAAAATTACCACAATGACTGGACTTTTTCATAAAACAATCGTAATGGAGTCGTCAAAAAGTATTAATATATTAAATCGATTTTGTTGATTTTTGTGCCAATTTTTCGATATTCTACACTTACGCGGTTTTTAGAATTTAACTTTTTTTTTTTTTTTTTTTTTTTTTTTACGTTTATACTATGTAAATTATTTTTATCGGGTAAAAATGCTTAGAATTTATACATTAGGCTTATTGTAAATCGTTACTAAAGTGAACAAATGTCGTATGTAAAATAATTTCTTGATTGTCTTTTTAGTTTATATTTTGTTGGAATCATAGACGTAGAGAATATGAGAGTTTCATTAATAATAAACAATACATAACTAATCGGTCTGTGGTGTTTTACCGTTTCATGCTCTAGCAAAGTGCGTTAAAAATAAACGAAAAAAAAATATTACGTTAAGAGCTAAATGCGGTGAATCTTAACCGTCATCAGTAATTGCGTTTTTAATACCGTCTCTGTAAAACTATTGTTTTCGCTATTTTTTAAAAAGAAATAAGCGCATTATGACTAATATTATTATCATCGTCTGCGAAGATAAACGACGAGAGAATATATGTCGCGGTACCGTTGAATAAAATTTACTGGAAACTTTTAAATGTTATATACAGACACACGGTATTTCTCGTAATCGAACAATATCTCGCAGTGGGTACGTACGACAATCGCTTTTTATTAGGATATTTTCTTAATTGGTATTAAACTTTTTGGCGGCACAGCGAAACTCGCGATCATTCCGTCTTTCGATGTGCTTACGAAACGGTTTTGCCGACACGATTATACGGTCGTTCGAGAGTTACGCAAAACGGGACTGAAATTAACAGTTGCTTTTTAATGAATTTTTACTCGGAATTTTTAATGATATTAATGTCCCGGGCCTCCCCCGGGGTTTTAATATATATATATATATATATATATTTATTTAAATTATATTCGTTGTACCGTGAAACACTTTTGTAAGTCGTTAATTTACGAACCAACGATATTAATACGACTGGGCGCTCGTCTGAAGGGGACTATTGTAAAAGATTTCAATAAAAATCACACGAGCACAACTAATTTAAAAAAAAAAAAAACCAAAAAAAAAAAAAAATATTCTTTGTTGTCGCTGCACAGTGGATAGGAAACGAAAAGAAAAAAACGATTGCGGAATTAAATTCATTGTCATTATTTTTATATTAATATTTTATTTTAACATGGTATTGTGGAAATATACGATAAAACACAATAAAACTAATTGCGGAATTAAATTCATTGTCATTATTTTTATATTAATATTTTATTTTAACATGGTATTGTGGAAATATACGATAAAACACAATAAAACTACACGATAAAACTATTCACGAAAAAAAAACAAATAGGTGGAATACATTTACCAGAATATAATAATTGTTTTGTCACATCGTCTGTTAATTGGTACCATTATGTGTATAAATCATCGGTTAATGTTTTGTAGTTAATAATATACACAACAGTCACACATAATAACAAAACAAAAAAGTGATAATAAAAGTTTTCGTTGAAAATTTCAATTATCTACGATTATTTTAAAATGGATCACAATAACAATTACTGCTGACGGGTATGACACAGTTGTCAATAGGACGGTATGATGCACAGTGCTATTAATTTTATATTTGTGTGTGCCGTTAATTCATTGCTAACGAAATACGCTTCTGAGTTATGGTTGATAAACTCGGTGGATTAGTGGAAAAATGCCCGATGGGTGGCTATAAAAAATTGATAAATTTATATAAATCGTAAAATGTTACGCATGTTGCTGTGTTTTTTTACGATTATACGAATATTCTGATGTTCACATCTTGTTTGGAAAAATCCTATGTAAGTATTCTGTACAAATTTCAGGTCTCTAAGATTATTTTTTACCAAATTCCAACCAAAAAAAAAAAAACAAAACCTGAATTGACGGTTTCATTAGTTTCGTAAAATGTCCAATCCGTTCTACATTTTTTTTCTTTCCAATCGTTCCCAGTTATTAAGAAAAGTGCGATGCAAACCGAAAAATGGCCTATCCAATGCACCATATATATATATACAATTTGCTCTCGTGAAAGATGCCACTCTTGATTATCAAAATAAGATTTCTGGTAGACAAAATTAAAAAAAAAAAAAATACGAAAAAAAAACCACATACATCATAGTAAAACAGATACGTTGCTGTGTTCAACGAGATATCGAAAATAATAATAACCGTTATTGCGTTAATATTCCCGTTTATTCTTATTATTAAAAAAAACCCAGTTGCAAAGGAAGAATCAAAAACTGACCTCACCTAGATAACACCTCTGTATGGAACAATACTAAGGCACCTACATAATACCGGAATCCAACCGTGATATGTGTTGACGATTGGAACAAAGATTTCTGGTCGATATATTTTTCGCGGACGCATAACAAAATGAAGTGAACGGCATAATGGCAAAACCTACACACACCAGCACGCGTGCATACGTATCAGAACAAAATATAAACGAGTAAAGTTTATATGATAAAAAACGTAATGCCTATCTATTTGTTTGTTTTTGTTTTTGTTTTTTTGCGGAGGAGGTTACGTTAGCTATACATTAAAATGTTTCTCCGCGGGTCGTGTTGTACATTTTTACATTTTACTGCTATCTAACATTTAATTCGCGATAAATGTTATCCAAACGTTTATCGGTGTTGTTTTATGGGTCATCATAATAATCATAATAATTTTACGACCGCAATTAAAATTAATTTCCGAGTGTATAGTATTTTGTAAGGGATCGTTTAATAATAAATACCTACCTATTAAATCGCGAATAATGGGATTTTATATATGTTTTTAAATAATAACCCGTTGCGTTCTGTTTAAGAACTACGTTCGTTTTCCGCAGACAAACATTATAGTTACATGATAAAATGTATTTTTGTTTCAATAAAAAAAAAAAAAAAAGGTTATACAAAATTATATACGACCATCGCGGATCCAATTATTATTTACTAGGACGGCGGATTCATAGTATTCGAAAACCTCAAGAAATGTACGCATTTAGGCCCTTTGTAAATAATTTTATGAAAATAACTCGGAAGGTAAAACATTATTTGTTAGACATTGCATAAACGTAATATTATATAATACGTATAATACTCTGTTATTTGTGACGGGTTTAGTTCAGTTCATATTGTTATTCCGTTACTCAGTTGTACAGACTGTAGCGAAGAAGCTAATGGATCGAATTTTAAATAATTTAAGAAAATATTATTTTAATAATATTTTTGATTAAAATGTATTCATAAAATCAACAACGATAAGAATATCATTAATTTGTATAATTCTGTTTCTGTTTTTCAGGTAAATATCAAAGAGGTTATCCAATAGAGCTTATCATTCACCTCAGTAAGTATTACACACATCGTTTTCCGTATAAATATTACTTGTTAACGATCGAGTGCATGTTTCTAATATTTCTGTATGTGGTCGGAAATTTTAATTCGTTAAAAAAAAAAAATACACTGGTTAATTTTATGTATATTTAACTGATAGAGAGATGTATAGAGAAAGATAGAGAGGGCGAGAGAGTAATAAATATTATTGTTTACCCACAATGAATTGTTAACTTAAAATAAAAAATTTTACTATTTCATTTGATTTACTTCTATTTTTCGTATTTAGTTAATTTGTCTCATTATTATCTTTGTATTTTAGACGTATTTACAGGATTATTAATTTCTTATTCTATAAAATTGGACATTTTCAAATCTCGTAGATACACCCTGTATTATAATTTCATTAATTATTTTTCGGAACGCATAAGATAGTAATTATTTATCCGCGAGCAAGTGTAAAAAAGCTATGGGATGTATTTAAATTATCAACTTGAATTACATCATGCCATAGTTGTTTCCTATGTAAATATAAACCGCTTTAATAACAAAACGTAAACATATTTACTCATTAATATACAAAGAAACACGATTCAGGTTAGCTCAATGCACCTGCTGCACTTCATGCGTACTGCACACTCTCGACTAGTATAAATAACGGTTTTAAACTTTCAAAGCAATTATAACAATGTTCTTAGCCTTATGCAATTAAGCACATAAACAGATAACTACAACGTAGGAACGTGTGTATAATCAAAGAATGGATTTTATAGTTATCCGGTTTTTGTTGAACATTAAAATGTCTTTTGATCTGTTAGTATACGCAAACTTACTAGTAACAATAATAATTTAGATTCCGAATATAGTGAAGACGAATCTAATAGTATAACAGTTTTATTAAAAAAACGTTTTTTTCTTAGAAAAAAAACCTTTTATCACGAACAATATTCTCCGGTTTTCGCACATAATACCCCGAAGGACCCGCAATTTTCATCCAGAGGTATTTCACGCGAAATGCTTTTTTTGAATTTCCAATTATTTCAATTCCGAATATTCCTTCCGCCGCCTTTTTCTAGTTTCGTCGAAATCGCTTTTACCGGACAGACGGACCAGACGAACACTTCAATTTTGTTTACATAAACTATCTTATATCTTATTGTTTACCTTTCAGACTTCCGACCATCTACAGCCATACACGATTTTGAATTATAATGGGATAAGTTTTACCTCCTATAATCTTAAAAAACAAAAAAAAAAACAAAAATAAATAAATAAAGAAAAATAAATTTTACCGATATTGCCTATAAAAAAAACACACACGTCGTTAATGGCGCGTAGATACGGCCCAGTGATCCAATGTCAATTAAATTCCAGTTAAATTGCCAATCAATAATAATAATGTCATTATAAAATAATATGTAATTTATGTTTGCTTTGGAAACACAGCCCCCTTAATGAAGTTGTAAGCATCATCGTAAGAAAGTGTACACTCTATATATACAATGTATATAAATAGTTAGGTAGGTAGGTAGGTAGGTAGGTAGGTAGGTACACGGGAATCGTTAGTTTTTGATTAATTATGTCGTAAAACGTTATTAAACTTTCACGCTTTAATCGGTATTTCGAAATTACCTGACGTGCCGCACTTCGTTTATCATATCAAATTTATAACGACGACGTTGACAAATTTACAATATTACCTACGTGAAAATACACTTATAACGCGGTTGAACGATATTATCCAACAGATCTTTGCATTGTTACACACCTATAATACGCAATGTATTACATGCAAATATGTCGGTCGTTATGGTTTTTTAAAATGTCTCCGTTATTATAATAAATTGTAATTAACGAACTGCAAATGTGTAAGCAAATAAAAATACAATTTAAACGAACAAATGACTCGTGGCGAGTACCGGATCACAATGGAAACGTTCGCAGAACGTCGGATATCGGATTTTTTTCAAAATCGACCAACTATTTGACCTAGAATTTTCAGGCGAAATGTTTTTTTTTAATGTTTTTAGAACAATATACGAAAACCGATCATAATCTGATTCGAGTCCGACCGACATATATTTTGGTATACATATCAGCACGCCGTTCCTATAGTCCAATCACTTTTGATAGTCTTGAGTTGTTACTTCGCACTGCGCGCGTGACTAGTACTTGCATCGTAGTTATTATTATTAATTATAATTGAATCATTTGTTTCCAATTAATAAGTCTCAATGAAAATATACAATATAGAATGGTTTTTTGTAAACGCTGAAATCGCATTGATGTATACCAGTACTTACAAACCAAGATTTCAGTGGGCTTTTGTAATAAAAAATAAATCAAAGTATTTATTTAAAATGTAGAAGTTACTTAAACGTTAAAAGTACTGTCCGTCGCATTTATGTGTGCACTTATATTTTGATTCAGTCATATTTGATACGTGATGTGGCACCACTACAATCCAGTACCGTAGCCAGAGTTAAACGGGCCCCGGCGCATATTTAATTTGTGGACCTATTATTTTTCATTAATATTTAATCTAACCGACTACTTTAAAAAAAGATACGGATATACTTACCACGAAGGGTGGGCCACCGCTGTAGATGAGAAGTTTAAAGGGGAATTTAATGTATATCATTGCTAACGAAAAACGATTCTGAGCGATTTAAAAATAATACATTTCATAAATTCCCATATTTTTCTTACTTTTTTTCTCGATTTTTTCCCTATTATTATGAACATTTTTTGGAAAACAAATGACCACCTCAGTGTACCATCCCAATCAGATTTCTTTTCTGGTAAAAAAGTTGTTCGAAAATTGAAAAATAATAATAAAAATAATTTATTAAAATAAATACCATTATTAAACTAATACTCGATCCGCTCAGAATCTAAAAAAAATTAAATATAGGCATATTAGATATGCCGATATTTAATTTTTTTAGACATCAATGTATCACCTTAGAGTGGTTATATATATAAAATATATATAAATAAAAAATCATAATACAGGTGCTCGAATTTAGGGGAGGACTCCCGGGGACTCAGCATATGAATTAGCATTTCCATACCACATTTCTGAAAACAACACACTGGTACACAATATAAAGGCCAACGAAATATTGTTTATTGTGTAAATTCAATTTTATAAAATATTAAATAGGTAAGTACCGAACCCTTAATTGAGGCAAAAATCGAAATTGTTAATAGTTTGATAACAAAATTAAATACTAAGTATTATTATAAGCATGTAAGTATTCTCCACGCAATATATTATAGAGGAAACGGTATATAATTATAAAAATAAAAAATGATACGTGTATTAAAAATAATGTAATCGTATTAACATATTTTAACAATGTACGTTTATAAACGATTTTTTTTTCTTCCTTTTTAATTACGAAAATGGCGATACACCCCCTTTACCCATCCTGTTTTAACCGCACACTGACAATTCTTGAATTGTTATTATTTTACTTACCCTTACTAAAAATTCTTATCAGACCTAACGTCAGCGGATGTTGAACAAAACGCACGTACCCACTAAATCATAAGTCGGTTCGCAGCTTTTCCGTCGGAACTATTTAGGTGCCCGCTTACAATAGAACACACTAATACTATTACCCAGTATAGTGGGGCAGTAGAATATTATTTTTTTTTTCCGGCCGGGTCGTCCGGTAGTTTCTCAAACCGACGGCAGCATATTATTATGTAAAATATCCGTATACACTGGCCGGTAATTGATTTTTTTAATAGTTGGCCACATCAAGTAGAAATTATAATTGGGCAAGCCAATGCCTATAATTGTTTAGCGCGGGCGAGTGCAATTAAGAAATTAAAATAAACGTCCCGTACCCCGCCCGCCCTCCCCCCCTACCCACCCCGCGTAACGCGAGTCATACGAATATTTACCGTAGCGGACGTCGCCGAGCGACGTGAACAATAAATAGCTGTACGACCGTGGACCACGCGTTCGACCGTCGGACGCGAACATTATTACGGTCCACGGCTCTATGCATAGACAACGCAACGGTTTATAATGTCGGCGACAACGCGGGTGTTGGTACCGGCGACCGGTACGGTCACACTAGTTTACCCCGTCCCGCGCCCGGCCCTTCGCGGGCCCCACCGCGATTAGCGATTACCTCCGTGGACGCGGCGCGCGTTGTCGACAACGGACGTTTCGATCACCGGCCGGCGCTCGTCATTTTTGTCGGCGACACCGTCGGACCGTCGACTCGCGACCTCGCCGCCGCCGCCGCCGCCCGTCGTACGGTTTCATTTTTCGCGTTCGTAGTTTGGTAAATTTACGTCGCACGCAGCTTTCGTTCGCGCGACGTCCGGTACGCCGCGATCCGGGTTGGCCGCGACGCGCGCGTCGGTTCGCATTTTCCTTGCCGCCGCGAGTCGCGCAACCGCGCGCGCGTCTTTCGCACGTCCGTCCGACCGGCGGCGGCCGTGCCGGTGTGAACTGTTCGACAGTACAACCGTCGGAACGCCGATTCTCGACCCGTAACGGATGCTATCGCGCATCACGTGTTTTGCATGACGATTTCGCGGTAATCGTCCGCGGCGCGTCGACGAGCGAGCCGCGTCCGGCCGGCGGTCGCCCGTACCAACGCACGGTATTAGTTGCCGCGCGCGTGCGTCATCCGTCCGTCGCCTACCTTACGCGCGTCGAGATTATTTTATCCGACACCCGGTTACGGCGTATCGCATGACGATTTCGCGGTAATCGTCCGCGGCGCGTCGACGAGCGAGCCGCGTCCGGCCGGCGTGCCCGCGGCGGTCCCGGACGCCGGCCGGCGTTCGCCCGTACGGACGCGCAGTTCGGTCCGTAGTACCGGTCGATCGGCGCGCGTACCTTTCGGGACGCGCGCCAACACGTATCGAGATAGTTCGCTATCGGTACGGGCACTTGAACGATATCAAATGAGGGCCCCGTACAAGAATTTGAAGTTAGTGTGAGGAGGGGGGGGGGCTCTCGGTGCAACGAACCGACCGCACCGCGGTTTCCGCGGCACTGCTCCTGTCGCCGGTGCCGTGCGCTGGTACATTCGCTGAAACCTTCCGGATAAATCGTCGATAATCTATTCGCATTGATAGCTAGGTAAAACTAAAAAGAGCACATACAGATAAAAGGCGAACGCAACACTGCCGTTACGCCGATCGCGCGTTTCGCTTCCACCATTACAGACATTATTGATAATTTAAATATAAAGTTTATAATTTCTTTTAATCAAAAATAATTGGTATATTTGTTAAAACCGTATAACAGAAAAAAAAAAAACCAACAAACAAAATAAACTAAATAACATAAGAAATAAAAGGAAAATTCATTTTATTAGCGATTGAAACAGCGTTAAGAATGTGTAGTGTTTCTTTTTCATAAAGTTCCCAGTAATAATTGAAATGATATTAAGTTTAAATTTAATTTAACTTTTTTTATTTCTATGAAATAAGTCGAGCTATTCATAATTTAATTTATAAACTTTAGTAGGACTCCGGTGAAATCCTAAATTGTATTTGACCGTGAAGGTTTAGAGCGTTGAAAGTAAAAAGCTAAAAATTGTTACTTTTTTTTTTTAATTTTTGAACTTTTTCACAAGTGAAATACATATTAAGTAATAATATTATAGCGAACAACTATTTGACACTAATAATTTACCGAGCCTTTTTCACATTCGTGTATGTGAATATTTAAACGTGTTTTATTCCGTACATAAAAAATCTTCGGAACGTATTCGGTTAAGTTTAGAAATAATTACAATTTAAATTTGCAAGCACCCGTTTAACTATTAACTTAAGTACCTATTCAAATGAGTCGTAAAATTATATTTGCGAACATTATCGTAATATCCAACGCACACATTATACATTTTAAATTTAATCATTACCGTTTACGTAATTTTACAATTTTTATTAATGAACTCGACGCGGTATTAAACGAGCAATCAATATTAATAATGTTTTAATTTTTTTTTAACTAGAAATGTAAAACGAAAATATGTGCACGTAATAATATGATCGATGCGAAATATTAGTCTGGTGGAGAGACGTATACGTTTTCCAGTGCTTGATATTTTTTTTTAACATTTCGAAAGTAACCGTTCGAACGCTAACGCCGGCA